AATCCATGAATTTTAATGAGTATACCTGCTTCGTTCTTGCTTTTGTGACAGGAGTGAGCACAGAGATGTGCTGCAAGGCACTTGGATGATAGTGCTGCCCAACAGTGCATCCCGTGGCTTTGTCCACCCAGTTTTCCACACTCAGTGCCCACTCTCGTGATGTGGTGCTGAGGTTTGTTTGGAGTGGCTTTTCAGCTGGCAGCCTGGGCAGCCCAGACCCAGCCTGGCAAAAAGGGTGCTGTGATGGGACGTGGGCTCCAGGGAGCACATCAAGGCTGGAGGGCCTCAGTCCTTCTGTGCAGGGCAGCTCCCCTTTGAGGTTTTTCAGAGCCCACCCTCTGCCCTTTTGCTTGCTTTGATGTTCTTCAGATGGATACAAGATTTCCAAATGCTCGACTATAGAAAAAAAAAGTAGAGGAGAATGCTGTTTCTCCCCCACACTTCTTTCTCTCATCAAGGGCTTGATCCTGCAAGTACTACTGAGAGAAAACTGCAGCCAGTGGGGAAATGATGTTTTCCAAGACCGCTCCAAGGTGGGCAGTAGCACAGAGCAATTGGCTCCTGTCTGTGTTGCTTTGTGCTCAACAGGCAGCAGCCAGAGACTCTCCAGGGAAGCCTTCTTTTCCTAAGGTGCCTGTACAGCTCCTTACACGGAGCATAGCAGTCTGAGGTCCTAAGGCATTGCTGTCAGACCCCAGCTTGCTGTGGAAATGTTGCTCTGGTGAGGATTACATCTCTCTGCAAAATGCAGCCCTTTCTTCTTCTCTGCTGCAGTAATTTTTTCTGCAATTATAACTTACACTGAACAGCTCAAACTGCAGGCACTAACACAGAGCAGGCTGCAGCTTCCCTCTACCTTCAAATGGACAGCATGGGTCAGATGGCACCCGGATGGTTTCAGGATGAATCACTCACTGCCTCTGTAAAGAACATTCCCATAACCTAAATCTATCAAAAAGAACATAAACCACATCAGAAGCCAGTTCTCAGATACTCATTTACTAAGACTTTGGAAATCTCTTGTATTAAACAGATCATCTCTTTATAGGAGAATGGAGCTGCCCTAATTATACAAAGGGTGGAAAAGGACGCTCTTCCATCTGGGAAGGCTGTTTAACTTTTTCTGGCTTCCTAAAAAGCCATTGCCTTGTAAACTGAGCATTCCTTCACTGTTCTGGTAGACACAACATTCCCCATGTCCAAACCAAATGCTGTGCAAGGCCTGCTTTTCTCCCTGTGGAGCAGCAGTACCAGATCTGGCCAGCCTGGACACCCACAGGCACAGCCCCACAGGAGTCAGCAGTGCAGGCAGGTTGGTGCTGGCTGCCCCTAAAACATCCTATGTGGAGCATGTCATACTGCCAAACACAGTTCTAGCTTTTGTGTGGGGTTCCTCAGCAGTGGCCTCTGGTCTCTTGTTCTCTGGAAGAAAAAGGTGTTCTGAGAACCCCCTTCTCCCTCCCTCACTGTCCTGGAGTGGGGTGTGTGCTGAGATTCATCTACAGGTGTGTGGTCAAACAAGAGAAGTCAGTCTGCAATCATTTGGTTCCCTCCTCTGCGAGCTGTGTGATACAGACAGTGATTCCCACCCCTCCTTTCCCTAGGGGTATTTTAAATTTGGAAATCAGAGTCAATGTGCTTGTGGGGACCTCACCAGGGTGAGCAGCAGCCTCTGAAGCATTGAGCTGGTGGCTCTGAGGTTTCCCCGTATGACTGGAGATAAGATGAAGGAGATCTGATGAGAACCCCAGATCTGCAGGAAGAGGAACTGCTTCCTGGCAAAGGCTGCCTCATTTCTCACCAGCCCCCTGGGCAGTGAGCAGGGCCAGGTCCCCCCCACTGCCCACCGAGAAGGGCGATGTCTCAGGACACTAAACAGCATCCTTTGCTTGCAAACCTTGCACAGTTTTTTTCTGCAGGTGAAGAACCAATTGTGAGTAGCAGTGAGGTGTCAACTACTAACACCAAGTTAAATCTTCTAGAGAAGATCTTAATTCCGTGTCATGATAATCCCAGGTGCTTTTATTTGGCACCAGTAGCTTTTATTATTTGTTTCCTTCATTTGTGGGTGATACTATATTCTATGTTCCTGCTTGTGTGTATGCTCTGGTGGATGCTATTGTGCAGCTGATGGGCCTTAAATCCATGCTTTGTGGAAGGTATATATCTTTCCAAAGGTTTTACATTACTAAAGGTAGCAACTTACAAAATAAAACCTTTGTTGCAAGTATCATTTGAAGTTAATCTTCATATAATCCACAGTAAATATTTATGCGCAGTGCAAAAGTGGCTGGATTTGTTTACAGTTTGAAATTGTTGGAGAGAGGATTCCATATAGATTAGTCAGCTAATCTGCTGTAATCTGCTTAAAAAGCAACTGAAATGGGTTTTCTTTCACTGAATCATGTTAGCACTCTGTATGCAGTGACTTCAGATAGGGAAGGGATTCGGGCACAAAAGGGCATTTACCTTGTGGGTGCTCACAGCATTGCTTGCATTGCAGAAGAACCATAAATTTCCTCTTCTACCTTAAAGAAGGGGACAGCTGCAGTGACTGAATTTAAACTGAGATGGGTGTCAGGATCTTCTTTCCCATTTCCTTGCTGTAGTGTTTGAACTGTATTGCCTGGGGATAAACTGATCTTTGATGAGGCACCTGCAAGGTGTCTGCACAGAAGTCATCCTTTCTGAATTTATTCTGTTTTATTTCACTCCCTCCTAAGGAGATCTACAGGAGGTGCCTCTGCCTAGCATGCTCCTGAGTTGATAAGGAAAGCATCCTGCTAGTTTTCTCAATGTTTCTAAATTTTGGGAGGAATGGAAAATTGTCCTGTATCCTTCAGTCGCAACTCAACTTTTCTCACAAGGGAGTTGCAGCTCAAGGTGGAAAAATATTTTAGATACTCCCTGTGTTTCACAGAAGGTCTCTGTGGGCATCCATGGGACGGGTGTGTTTCCTCTGGGCTGCAAGGTCCAAGCTTGGATCTCTAACAGCCTGAGGAGTGAAGGGCAAAGACTGGGCAGCAAACTGAGAGATCTTCCTCCAACCAACTGAGCAATGAGCTTGGCTGGGAGGCTCAGATCACACATGGCAGAGATGGTGTGAATGGTGATGAAATCCCATTCTGTGGCTGTTCACAGTGCACCAACATTCAGAGGTTGCAGAGGGATCCCTCCAAGCCCTTGTCCTAGGTATGGGGACATGCATGCTGAGGTGGCCTCACTGATACAAGGTTCTGGCTGCAGTCCCGAGCCCACTGCACCCTGTCTCTCCAGGACATAGGCAGTTACCAAACAGGGAATAGCCCTGCCAGGAGAAAAGCAGGCTGAAACAATCCATCCTGTGGGTATGAGGCCACTTTATTTCCCATTTACCCACCACACCATGGGACCAGCCAGGTGGTCATCATTGGAGCCCACTGACATGCAGGATGGGATTGGCTGCAGCTCCCTGCTCCTCACTCGGCAGGCTGGGCACCCCCCTGCCTGCAACCTGCTCCTCCTTCCTGGTCAGAGCAGTGGCTGCAGCCCAGCTCTGCTTCTGAAGGTCGAGACCCAGAACCTCCCCAGGGAAACCCATGGAAAGCAAAATACACCTTGCCTCATCCCATAAACAGCAACACTGGCAGGACCACAGCTCCCAGTCTGGGAGGGGACCTGGTCCATCACCTGTGCTGCCCCCGGCAGATGCATCAGCTTTTGGTGTCAGGGCTGTCGCTTTTTTCCCCTTTCACACATCCCCAGTGCCGGTAGATCATTTCAGTGTGGGTCCCTCTGAATAATACATTCATCCACAGTCCTTCCCCCACCCCGTCCTCAGCAAGGCCTTCACGAGTTGAATACGGTGGCTCGGCTCCAGCACACACAGCTGCCATCACTGCTGCAATTCTTTTGCCTTGAGAAAAAGCATATACAATTTAATATGCTCCTGGCACAACAGCTTTTCTGTAGCAGAGGAGGCGGGTTTGTTTATGGCTATTTTGATAGGGCTGCTTTCATCCGGACACAGGTTCTGCTGCATCTTCCCGCTTGCACAAGGGCACCTTTGTTGGGCTGGTTCTCATGTTCCTCGGGAACCTCTGCCCATTTTGGTACCTTCTCCTGCCCTCTGCAAACCTGAGGTTTAAAAAGACCTCCTTGGCTAATCCTGTTATTCTCTAAAAGCTAAATCCTGGGCTAAGAGCCAGAAATGCAAGGCAATAGGAGAGGGTGTGATGCTTTACTGGATATGTGTCAAGGATATGAACCATCCTGCCATCTCATGGGAATTTGGCCCATGGAGCAGAGCTCATGGTGCTTGCGGTGGCCTTAAGCAGTGACTTAAAGACTTTCCAGGGTGGGGAGCAGCTCTGTTGCTTTCCCAGACAACCTCAGTCTCGCCAAGAGCCACATGAACCATGTGCAGGGGCATGACTCCTTCCTCCTGGCAGGGCCAAGTCCAGGGCTTGTCCATCTCTGCAAGAGCTGGCACTGAGAGATGCAAATTCTCCTCTGACAGCGATTTCCAGAGTCACTGTGAACAGTGACACATCTCCCTGCTCAGCTCCCCAGCCAGGGTGGGGTGTGCAGGAGATGCACCTCCAGGCTGGGAAGTCTCAATCAAATAACCCAGAGTCTGCAAGCGCAGCCAACTACTTCTATCTGGCAAACTACTTGACCTGCCCTGGTTGAGAAGGAGAAACAACCTCTCGTGTTTTTCAGCTGCTCAGTCTGTTTCCCCTTGCTGTGGTAGTGGAAATAAATGGTGGGAGGGTTTAGCCAGCACTAATTCAAGCTGAAGTTGCTGCGACTTTGTGCTTGGCCCACAAGTGCAACTGAGAAAACGAAACCGGCGAGAAACACAACTGATCATCCGACCATCAGAAACACATGGAAACGAAACAGAGTCACTCTGTGGCGCACATAAATTCCACACATGTGGAGGAATGCAAAGCAGCTATTGTACCCCCACTTTGCAGATCCATTTCACTGTTTTCCCAGTTTATCTGGAAAATACATACTGCATGGTACTGTACGTCGTATTTCACTGCTATGCACCATGATGTCTTCTAATGGAACAATCGCCATGCTTGTAGTCTAAGGGCAATACAAAAGTGCTTTCAAATAATAACAATACATTTTCTGTATAAAGAGGATAGGGAGTAGCCACTTCCCAGAAAGGCTTGATTTCCCTGGAGCCAGCAGTATGAACATCCAGAGCGCCAGTAACAGCAGGCAGTGGTGAGAAATTCCCTACCTCATCATCAGTCTATACATCCCGTTTCCAACTGCCAGCTCTGGGAAGAGCGGAGGCTGTCAGCACCCACCGAGGGTAAGGTGAATGCACCCAGCAAGCCTTGGCAGCACGAGGCTCCATTTATCCCATCAGGGCTTGGGCGAGGGGCACTTTTTTGGCAAACCAACTCTTTCGGCTTCGAACCGAAGCTGTGAGCAGAGGAGCAGCGTTCTCACAGCCCAGCTCCCAGAGATCACACAGCAGCACAGCATCTGCCAATTCATTCAGCACTGCTGGCCCATGCAGCAACATGGCATGCCACTGTTCCACGTTTGGAGGCAGTTTATACTGGAATAGGAGCAGTCTTCTTGGGCAAAGTGATTATTTTTTTCCTCCGAAAGATCTCACAACTTTTTTAAAGAGAACTCTGCACACTTAAAATTGCTGGAGCACAAGTGCATGGGATGTGTGCTGCAGCTGGTCTGGGCTGTGGAAGCTCTCTGTGATACTTGTGCAGAGAGTGACTTGAAAACAAGGATTAAAACACATCTGGGGAGGGGCTGGTGCACTCAGAAGTGAAAAGTAACCCATGCATATCTGAGACAGGAGTCAGAGCAGCCCAAGGAGATGCTCATGCTTTGCTTTCCTTGCCCAGGCAAAGAGTAGCCTCTTTTCTAAAAACTGAATCCAGATTTTTAGAAATCAGAAGAATCACTCTGGTATTGGAGCCTGATCAAGCACAAAAAACATCCTCAGCCTTCAGAAAAAAAAAACAGATGGCTGCAGATGCCAGCTCCTTTGGCCAGGCAGCATTTCCAGAGAAAAGGCCAGCTTGTTGTGTGAGTGCTGCATCCCAGATACAACTCTGTGGAGCAGCAAAGAGCCATGGAGAAATCCCCTGAGGAGGAGGAGGAGCGTCCAAGCCAATGTGTTCCCGTAACATCGAATTTCCAAGGCTACACATATGCTCATATCCAAATATGTTCTCCTTCTCTGGAGGGAAGAGGGACCTACAGAAGTGACTCTGGCTGGAAATGCTCTTACAAGTTTCTGAGCAGTCGTGTGCACTTGAAGCTCCAGTCAGAGTTGCCAAATAATAGAAACAAGTTAAAAAACCATTCCTGGCAATGTAAGAGTAGATAATTCAGTCTCTACATAGTGAAGTGGTCTTTGAATCAACTGTGAAACTTTAAACTGGTTGGTGCTCAGAGTCACCTACTCTGTAGTACTCTGCTAAGTCCCATCCACCTGCAACAGTCTGGGGATGCTGCTGCAGTTGCAGTGACTGTGCATCCCTGTGGCACTGTGATGAGCAGAGGGCAGTGGAATCTCTGGCTCTCTTTAAGCAGGTTATCACAGTGTTGCCTCTGCGCAAGATAAAATTCTCTCTGCTATACAGAAATGGGCACAAAGAACAAACACAATCTCTTCCATAAATAGGTAAGTGAAAGGATTTATGCCCCATTTAAGACTTCAAACTGAATGGGATCCACACACCTTGTGCAACCTTCACAATGGAAGAAATGTTATCCTTTGTGTGGTGACTCCACTTCCAAAGAACCACTTACCACAAGAAACACAACCCAGCAGGCAACAGCCCAACTGGTGTGCACTGGGGTTACTTGGTTCTCCAACAGGTCTTGTTTCACACCAACACCTGAGCAGGTAACATGGTGTCAGGCTGTGCTTGCTTGATGATCAGGGATTCACGGAGTTCATATGACTCCGTGAATTTAGGCACCCAGTGCCAAGAAGCAGTGGGAATGCCTGAGCGAGCCAACAGTAATGTGATACATGCACCAAAGCCTGGTCAGCCACATGGGCCTTGTAAAAACCTGAGGTGCAATTAGTTTCTATTAAAAATAAAAAAGTCTTTTCTTTTGTCTCAGGAGTCCTGAAATGGCTGCGACACAATTAAAACCGACCGAAAAAAGAATGACAATGAGGAGTGGTGAGATGCTCTTTTCTGGGGAGCGTGGGCTGGTAATGTCCTTCTGGAAGGACCTCAGAGAGAGTGGTCACTTTTGATTACTACATAATGTGAGTAATTCTCTGGAAAGACCAGTCCTTCCCTCCTGAATCATAGCAAAGGGGGGGAAAATAACACATTCCAAAAATGGAAAGCTGGACAGCCCTTGGATGCCAGGAGCCGCCCAAGATTCCTGTGCAGGGACCACTGCAGAGAAGTTGCTTGGAGTGAGGCCCCTGGCCCTGCCTGCTGCTCTGGGGTAACAGCTCCAGGTCTGGAGCCAAGCTTGGACCACAACAGATGTACTGATGTGGCCACCCAGAGCTCTGGCAGGTAGTGTGGCACCAACAACACATCGAACACCTCTTCCTCACCCAGAAGCCATGCTGGTCCTTCAATCCATGCCTTTACCCTGAGGCATGAGGTACAGGTGGTTCTTTCAGAGGCTCTGCCTTCTCTGAGAAATTTGTTCTCAGTGTAGTTCTTGGCCAGCCCACGGCAGGAACACAAGCCATGGCAGCAGCACAGTACGTCTCTGGTGCCAAAAATGGGGTTGTGCTTCAGTCCCAGGGCAGATGCACTTCTAAAAATCCATGTGTGGCCAGAAGTTCAGAGGAATGATTGGGAAAGATCCCTGGTTCAGTCAGGGCTTTGCCTATGATGCTGGGAAAAAGGAGCAGCACTGGTGTTTGGGAAGGAAAGAGCCTGTTTTCCCCAAGGTTTCTCTACTGGCCATACAACAGACTCAGCAGCAGTCCTGAGGGTTTCAAATCTGGCACCTGAAAAACAACAGGAAGGTCCAAGAGACATCTCGAACCTCTCTTTCTTTATGTAGACATATATGGTTACATTTAAACAGAAGAAATTTTTTTCTTCATGCTAATCCTCCACAAACCAGTTTGGTTTCCATTACTATATATAGCACTGGGAATCTTGGTCTATTTTTTGTCCCTTTGCATCTGATTATTTTCAGTAGAGTTCAAACTTTTGATGATATGCAGATTTTAACTAGAACATATCTACTCACACAGACTTCCATTAGTAATAAACCCACAATGGCTACATATAACGTAGAAGAATTTTATTCATACTGCAATCCTGTCCCATCATCCACTGCAAATATTACAATTATCTTTAAAACATCACTGAACATCATTTTGTTCCACTTAAAGCACAGGAATCCTGGTGTTAAATGGTTACACTTCTCTTGAGATTGCTTATAACAGAGCCATTATTCAAACTTATTTTCCATGAGCTGTGAAGGTTTAAAGCAAAGAATCTGCAGTGTGTCTGTGTGCTCGAGTAACTTCTAAACAGTGAGGCTAATACTTGGTGTTTGACAAGACACGTGTCTTGCATATTATGTGAAACACTCACAATTTTTTTACCAACACAACAGAAATGCAATAGGTAAAAGAACATACTTGAGTGGCTGGTAACCCTTAAAAAATATTTCTTTTAAAAATTGCACAAGAGAATACAAAAACAGTGCAGCAAATAACCAAATGCGCATACATTGATCTCTCTATATAGGATGGGGGTCTGCCTATGTAAATGTATGTGATAGAAACTGCAAGGCTGGAAACTGCAAATGGTCATATTTAATAACACGTGCAAGAAGCATAACATAACCAAAATAAATAGCAGCAGTGGATAAACACTAAAGGGACCGCTGAAATTATGCTGAAATAAGTTAAGCACCTTTAAGTGATGAGAGGAGCACGAAGCTGAGAAGCTTTTAGCTCTGTGAGAACCACTGCAGGCAGCTACTGGAATATTGGGCCCTTGGTGGGAGTCAACAGGAAAGTGCCAAGTTAGTATTTGTTAATTCCAAAGAAGAAAGCACATTGTGTGCCAGAAGGAGTAATGTGAGACATTTGGGCAAGTTCACCTACACCTCTAGTTTCAAAAGGGAGATTGCTGCTGTATTTCACCGCATAACCTTTGGCATATCAAAGGTACAGAAAGTTTATATCTACTCAGAAGAATGTTATTGTAAAGAAGAAATGGAGTTTTGCCCCAGCTGAAGAGCAGGCAGTGCTGTTTAGGGTGGCTGAGATGCAGAGCTTTGCTGCTGCTGGCAACAAGTTCACCTGCAAAGGAAAAGCTTCGCAAAGCATAATCCCGATGATCCCATCCTTGAGGGCTGGGCAGATTCCCACCCTCGAGGGATCTGCAAAAAGCTCTGTTCAGGAGGAGCCCCATGTCTAGGCAGGGCAGCAGTGACTGCCAGTGAGGCTGTGGGACCCTGGAGGGACCTGGGTTTGAGGATCCTGGTGCTCTTTGTTTTACAATGCCTGTCTTTTGGAAGAGAGGCAGCATTTTGAAGCACTTATTTGGCTTTCAGAAAATCTTAAAAAATTCTAAAATTTAGTCATATACTACAAGAAAGGCATTTGAATTTAATTAAATGGATCTTATTAAAAAGAGGCTGCTGTATTTGTCCCTGATGTTCAGAGAAGTGGCTGAGGACACTGTTGAGTTTCGAAGCCCACTTAATTCAGCAGAGAAGTTCCCATTGAACTTGTAAGGTCTATAATGCAAACTCTCATTTAAAAATAGCTGAGGACAAATAACAGGTCTTAAAGGCTCCATTTGAATTCTTAGAAAACATTGTCCCTTGACCTCTTCACCCAGAAGACTGGAGCAGGCTGTTTGCCTTAGCATATCCTACAAAGCAGACCCAAAAGAGTTTGTGACACAGAGGAAAATGGCCCCTATATCTTAGACACAAACAAAATCACTCAAAAGCTCTACTTTTCCCTGGCTTGCTGGAATGATCAAAACCTTACTCCAACCTTCCCCTTAAATTGCACAACTGCCAATTACCCCATGGGGTTTCAGGACCCTCCAGTCCATAACCAGTGAAAGTCTTTTTGAAGT